TCGAAGCTGCTCTCCAGAGCATCTCTGGGTCACTAACAGTGTCACTCAGGAGACCTAGCCCAAAATGGACCCTCCATGGGGACTCCTTCCTACCCTGAGGGCATCAGAAGATTTGCCTTGCCACTAGAGCTGACTCCTGAGCAAGGTGGAGCTAGGGAACCAACTCCGCAAAGTCAGGAATCTGGATAGAGCTCTCAGCGCCCTAAAACTCTTGCTAGTAGCTTGCTTCTAAGCAGAAGCCTACCTGAGAGCAGTGGGTCAGCCTTTATTTTGTACACTACACTACACAGATCATAGAAAAGGTCTTCCTTTGTATGCAGTTTCCTGGGGAGATAATCTTCCACATTCCCCCAGCATTTGAAGCTAGTTCTAGAGCTCCTGAAGCAGCAGGAGATGGCTACAGCAGCCACTTAGGGCCTCACACTGTGCCTCAACTGCATACATCTCTCTCACTGCGAGTGTGACACGCAATGGTCTTGGTGTCCATAAACCTGGATACATTTCAATTATTTAGAACTGATACACACACGCACACACACACACACATGGATAGTAAATACTTTTATTATATACTTTATGCATTCATGACAAACCATTCTTCCTTACTTTTCCATTATTTCTAGACAATGCCTTCTAAGAGTGTTTTGTGAATTGTGTAAATCTTTTTCCTCAAAACAATTCACATCTATGTGGGACCACACAGTTCAAATCTATGTAGAGGCCAAAGGACACATTGGTAGAACTCCACTGAGAGTGGTGCAATCATTCAGAAAAGCTTCAAATTCCCTAACACAGTCAGGAGCCTCACAGCCCTTCAGCCAACCTGAGACTCTGTTAATGGCAGTCCAATCTAATGATGGCGTAGCTGCCTCAGTTGGTGTAAGTGCACTCCGTGTTCACAGGACTGCACATGCGATTCCCAGATCATACCCATCCTTAAGAGATGTATGGGCATTTGCAAAACCTCAAAACTCATCTAAATTATGCCTCTTGCACCTAAAAACCATCAATAAATGAAACACCTGTGCTAATCTTAACCAGCTGTGAGAATGTATACTGCTTCCCACTGCTTGTCAATTCCACCCAAGTGAAGCAGTTTGAGTTCTGAGTCTTTAAGGATCTGGTATTCTTAGTAAGTAATAATGGACTTAAATATGCTTTAGTAATATCCAAATCAGACCAAAGAAACTGGCCTGTCTTTTCAGGATAATAAAGCACAGAATCAGGGTAGCTTTCTGCAAGGCTAGGAATGCATCACATGACCTATTAACCCCAAAGGCTGCAGCCTGTTCACACTCGGGAATGGGCAAGGCAGGCCACAGGGATGGCAGCATTCTGGCTTCTTCCCTGCCACCCTGCTCCTGTGTCCTGGTGTAAGCCCCTATATTTCACTTGTTCCATGGAGGCTAGACCAGACCCCAAGATCCTAGCTGTGCCTAGAGAAGCATCAGAAGAAAAGGGAGGCCTGAAACAGGCCCAGGGCTGTCCTTACTAACTGAAGTGCAGATTAAACTTCAATTATGAAAAAGGATTTCTCTACCTTTGGATTAGGACACACTAGTCCTTTCCAACTCTAACGCTCTGAGAGTATATCTCAGGTCTAATATTATCTTCACTTTCACAAGATCTGGCATGCATATTCTCTCAGCCATAAAATTACAGGGAGCAAAACCAGCACAGGGCTTATATTTCAGGCCCCTACTTTTGTGAAACACTCAAAAATTTATCTATAATTTACCTGGTAGTTTGGCTGTACTCTGTAGGCTATGGCCTCTGTAATGTTAGTGTGAGAAAACTTAATATTTCCACAAAGATTTGCTCTCCAAAGGTTTGTCAAAAATTTCTTGTGGTAAAAACAGATGAATGAGCCCGTCTATATTTTGCAAAGACCACAGTCGTTAACTTTTTGGCCTCACTTTCCCTCTATGTTATCATGGGTCTGTAATAATATCACAATTTGTTCTGAAATGTTCGTCTAGCTCCTGGCTTATCTGCAAGTGGCCTTTCTCATGATGTCTATGCAGGGTATGCTAGCCAAAGAGACATGACCAATAACCAGCCCTGCTGTGCCAGTTGGGACTGAGCAGCTTCCAGCACGAAGGGCCACTGACTTCCCCATTGGCTGCTGGTTCGGCTAGCAGTGTGGTGGTTATGAGCCCCACAGGCTCATAAATTTGACTGCTTGGTTACTAGGGAGTGGCCCTATTAGGAGGTGTCACCTTGTTGGAGTGACTTTCTTAGAGGAAGTGTGTCATTGGGAGCTAGGCTTTGAGGTTTCAAATGTTCAACCCAGGCCTAGTCAGTCTGTCAGTCTGTCTCTGTCTGTCTGTCTCTGTCTCTCTCTTTCTGTCTCTCCTCTGTCTCTCTCTCTCTCTCCCTCTCTCCCTTTCCCTCTCTCTTTCTCCTGCCTGCTAATCCATATGTACAACTCTCAGCTCCTTCTCCAGCACCATGGCTGTCTGTATACCACTGAGCTCCCACCATGAAGATAATGGACTAAACCTGTAAGCCAGCCCCAATTAAACGTTTCCTTTATAAGTGATGCTATGGTCATGGCATCTCTGCACACCAAAATAAGGCCTAAGACTGTCAGGTTCTTCAGTTTCCACCACTGCTTCCACTGGCTTTGAACAAATGTCAACTTGCTTTTCCTAGTCTTCTATAAGACACAAGTTACAAACTGTTGTCACTGTTAATTTCTTAGAAGCACAAGAAGCACGGTGAGTATCTACTATCCACTCAACCAACTTCAAACTACCGCTAAGAACAAGAGGTGTGTTATCTTACTGACAGAGACATGCTCTATGTGAAGTGCCTTTCTTTATGTGCTACTATCGAGCTTCTAAGCATGGCTCAGGAACTCCATTATTCCCCTTGCCCCCCCCCCCCCAAAAAAAAACTTATTTCAAACCTTGTAGAATGCTCTCTTTACTGGACACAGAAAAAATAAATTACTGACCCATTTTAATTACAACTGTTTGGCTACATTTCTGTACATGGGAAGAGGTACTATTTTAGTATTTCTGTATCATCAAAGGCATGAAATCTTTCATAGTATCTGACTTCCATCAGAAATTCACTGAGTAATTTTAGTCCCTAGAATTTAGTCCCTGAATTTCACACATAATTCCCTGTAGCAAAGGCTCTCTGAAGAAACTGAAAGTCGCTTTTGCATACAGTGGTGACGCTCCATGGGCCACAGAGTTCCTAAGCACCCAAGCAGGACTGCAGTGACTCAGTATGCTTGCCATTTGTAAATACCTGAATTACCCAAACATTTCAGCTAGACTGTTAATGACCTAAGAATCAACTCCTCAATGAAAACAACAAAATGGTTCCATTTTTGTCTCTTAACTAGATTAATTCAAAGGAAATTAAGGTTTAAAAATATATTACCTATTTAAATGCACGTGTTAAGTTAAATGTTCTTGATAAACTCAGGATGTAATACCTCAGCCTGTAATTCTCCACTGCTTAGAGCATTTTAGAATAGGTTCAGATCAGAGAGGCCATGTTTGCATGTGATAACATGTTCTGAACATACCACACAAGCTGGACTCCTCAACTGCAAACGGACTAACATCAGATTTCATGGCTGGTCATCACAAGCATTTCTTATTAAATATAAAGTCTGGAAGGATTATTATTTTAGTGGCTTCCTCTACAATCTGTTGTGTGTTTAATGTATTGTTAAAGAACTTCCTTTAGATGCTGAACCAGTGCTGGGTCTGTCTAGACATGTTCTCTTCATGGATAATGGGAGGAGGAAGAAGTGCCGCAGGAAGATGTCAGTGGTGGAGACACCTGCAGCCTTACGTGAGGAGTCTAGTGAGGAGCTAGGGACGTGCTGATTTACAGCACCCAGCTCATGTGTCCTCCAGTGTCAAAGGGGATGTGTGACACTTTCAAAGCTATTCTACATGAATCATACCAAGTACAGACTTTACTCAAAAATAGTTAGAAAGGAAAACAATGTTCAGCACTAAGGAAAAATCCACCTGAATACTTGTGATGACTTCTGGAAGCAGCCCTTCGTTACTGAAGAAAGCAAGCCCCTCCCACATTACTGAGAAGGGAGAAATGCAGGAGGAAACATTCATTAGCTTTGGAATGACCTCATGAGCTGCAATGATTAGTGGTTGGCTACTCTATACTGCCCATCACACCATGAGTGAGTTAGTACCAAATGTGTTAAGACGTCATTACTGCTGCAGAAGCAACAAGACACTAGTGTTCCACGCCACAAGACTACTCCATTACCCTCGAGGAGTCTGTGGGTGAAGGAAGCCCCTCAGCAGCATCCTCCTTGATTACTTCCTAGCAACATAAAACAGGGGAGTGGGTAACAGGGCAGGATGAGCGACATGGAAGATGAATGAACACAATGCTGAGATAACAACACAGATAACTCTGAATCCAAGGGTGACTGAAATTCCCTTTCCACCACTCTAAAATGTAGCTTAAATCATGTTAACAGGGAACTTGTTTTTACAGTTACTTAAAGTTTATCACCAGGAGCCTCTACTATATTTCGCACAGATGTGTTTTGTTCGGGATTACTTTTAATCAATAGTATGTTTAAACAATCTCATTCTGTGGACCCCCTGCCGTAGACTAAAATGCTCTCGCATGCTGCACCTCTATCTGCTAAGCCTTAATGCTAATGTGAATGCACAGAGAGATTACATGCAAGCCCTTAAACAGATACTGGAAACTAGCAGTTATAAAGATCTAGTTTTTAAAGTTTTGGTAGCAAACACTGCACTACAAGCCAGAGATCTCTGGTTGCAAAAACTCAACATTTAGTCACTGAGATGGCTAGTCTTTCATAGATATTTACCAGAAATGAAAACATACATTTTATATTTGTAATAGCTTGTTTTTCAAAACTATAAATTAAGTTGTACTCTTTTACTTCAGAAAAGAAAAGGAAAAAAGCTTTTAATGGTATCCATGTTTTTTATGAGATTAATATTTTAGTTACCCCTTTATATACTTACTAGGCCATTGTTCTGATCTCTGGGCAAACTCGTTTTTACTGATGAACGTGAGATGAGATGTTGGGAACCGCCAGGGTAATACCTTGGCGTGTAAAGGTATGGGGCAAAGAATGGCTATGGAGAAACATGTAACAAAAAAGGGCATGAACAATTACAGAAATCAAAGTGTAATGAGATTCATCAAGTGACACTAACCAACACAACTCCAAACTTCAAAAGCAAGTGACAAAACAAAAGGCCCGTGCACCCGCTGCCTGTGAGATCCAGACCAGAGTTAGGACAATGACACTGTCTCCTTCATCAGATATAGGCTTAAAACACAGCTCAAGTTTTGTACCTTGTGACTTGACACAAACATTTGCTTTATATTTTATATTAACAAGTTTGCTGTACATGATTTCTATGTATTAACTAACAAGTTCTTCCTTAAAGCAGACCAGAATATTATTAGAATATTCTGCCTTACCAAAAAGAAAAGTTATTAAGACCAAAACTGGCCTGGCCATTTGGGAACATCCGGCAGTGTTTCCAAGGACAGTTTCACTGAGGGCCCTGGTGCTCAGCTGTGTCCCGGCACACTGGAGTGCACTCTAGACTATAGGATGGGGAGCCTGCTGTCTACACAAGACTTAACCTCCTCATGTACATGTAGCAAGCTTCACACATCAGATTATATGGACTGGAAACATAACGGTCAGAATTCATTAGGCTTCACTGCGCTGAGGTGGCCGCTTCTCTCTTCTTTACCCTTGACACTTTAAGAGAATAGAATTACTACGCCTTTTAACGGTATGATTAATACCATTAAATAATAACAGAAGCGCTAAGCCTAAAAACAAGAAAAACTTTAATGTCTTAAAATTAATTAAATACTTTAAAAGTATATTACATTTGTTCTTAAAATAAATGAACGATGAATGTAAGATACCAGCATAGATGGTTTCATAACTCTTTTTTCAAATAAATGTATTTTCACACCTTTAATTAGTATTAATTGAGCCACCTTATGTAAAATTGCAGCAGATTTTATGACTGGTGACTGCAGATCTGTATTCCGCACCACCTACCACGCAGTTAATTTTGACAGAGAACAAACATTCTCATAAATGCATTGGCTACTCCTGTGTTGTCTTGTCCACACAGAAAAATGGTATCACATTTCTAAGGCTCTACAAACAGCAAAGCTAATTACCAATATAGATATTTAAAAAAAAATTAATTTAAATTCTCAATTCCTTCTTTCAAACACTTATCCTAAACTCTTTCTCGCCAGTTCATATGGATAAAGTCCTGCAGTCAGCTGTCCCCTATGACTATTAGCCTCTGTGTTTTCCTGAAGTTACACTAACCAGGGAGAAAAAAAGGATTAAAACTTACAATGGATTTTACAAGTATGATTCCATAAAGCATGGTCCATTTTCCTACAGGAAATTATTAGTGTCATTACATGATTAAGGTCAATAAGGTGAGAACAGGCACTTCAAGGACTACACCCAACATGGTTTGGGTACCACTGGAAACGGTGCTTTTATTTTTTAGTTAGGAAATTGTATATTAAACATATGACTAAAGGTACTTGAAATTACAATGTTTTGTGGTGGAATTAACTGGCAATAACATTTGATCCTTCAAGTAGCATGGGCCCATTGCTATTTCACATGTCTAAGAACTACAATGACTCTAGGAATTTATCACTCTTATGAACACTGATATAAATTGCTATAACAAAATATATCAAAGGAACCACTGTTGTCATAGTATTTCCTTTAACAAGAAAATAAAAGCCAATATTCTTATATTCACACTCTTCAGAACTCTAGAACACACTAAAATCCAAGACTTGGTTTTTAAAAAAATCATACACTTGTACATTTCAGCCTTACACTTTCCTATTTTAAAGCCAAATTATAGTTCCAAACCAGTACCAGAGCCCACAGACAGAGGGATCCTGGTGCCCTCAGAAGAGACACTCTAAAGCCATGGTGCTGACTCTTACCCTGTTGTAGAAGGGGTGCTGGGGTCCGGACAAGCCGCTGTAATAGCTGCTGTGAGGCTGTGGGGACACAACCCCGCCCGGGAACGGCCCGTTGAAAGATGCTGAAGAGGAGCAGACGGATGCAGGCTGACTGTACCCAGAAGGTGGCCGAGGAGGGGCTTCATGTAGAGGGAGCGGAGGATACGCAAGGCCTCCTATGTTGATCTGCTCTCTTGCAGCTCGAACATCTGAAAATTCCATCACAACCCAAAAAGCAAAAAAGAACAGGACACTAATGATGAGTCCTGTCACCAGCTACTAAGCAAGAACATGCTTTCATCACTGCTAGTGACTCCAGCTGAGTTTAAATGAGTTAACAGAAAATCTTCACTAGTCCACAGACTTTAAGTGAAAAAAAAAGAAAAAAGCCCAACTGATGTACATAAAAGAGGTTTTTTTCTTTACCATTTGAATAGTTACCACACTTGGATTCTTTCTTCAGTTACAAAACACTATAATTTTTGACTCTTTAAAGATCTATTTGTGTTATGCTAACAAAAGACTCAAATTTGTCTAATACATACAATGTGAGCTAAACTGTGGGCCTACACACTGAGACAAGTCAACCTCTCAACACAGAACACACAGCCACAAAAGCTTCAGCCTCAGAGTAAACACTGAGAAAAAGAGCTGGGGGCAGTTTGGGGTTTTTTTGTGTTACATAATAACTACATATCTATGGCACAATATGCTTCCTTAATAGATGTGTATGTTGCATAATGCTCAAGCTGAGGAAACGGACGTATCATCACCTCAAGCGCTCTTCATTTTTCTGCGATGAGACCATTTGAAACAGCCTCTTCTGGGTATTTTGAAACACTCACTAAGTCACAGTTAACTGTAATCACCCTCCTGTGTAAGGAGAGTCAGGAATTATGCCCCTACCCAAGTGTACCTCTGTACTCACTCCCTAGCCTTATCTCATCACCCGTGTCTGCCTGCTCTTCTCTCCCTCAGCATCCACAAGACGCAAGAGCAGTGTGTGCTTGTGAAGCTATTACACTTTACAGGACTAACTGAAGGTGATCCCTCCATAACTCCCAGAAAGCTCAGTTATGGTCTGATGAGCAGTATCACATGAAACCCTTGTGTTCCAACACAGCTGTGTATGCTCCAGTGCACACCAGCCTCTCAACAGCCTCTCTAAAACCCCAATGCAAACCAGATCTGGTAGTTCAGGCTCTAAAGCCAGAATGCAAAATAAGTTTAAAGCCAGTATGGGCAATTTACTGAGATCCTGTCTCAAAATAAAAGTAGAAAGGGGTGAGGCCATATTCAGTGGCAGAGTGTTTGCCTAGCATGCCCAAGGCTCTGGGTTCAATCCCTAGCACAGCCATAAAATAAACCTGCCTTTAATAGTTATATTCAAGTCCTGGTTTATAAATTAGGTTAAACACCTAAAATGAAGGTAAAGTTTTGGTTTTGTTTTCTGCTCAACGTGGAGGTCCCTATTAAAACAGAAAATGATCGAGGGACAATGACAACATGTGGCATCTGAACATCAAGACTGTATGTGAATGAACACAAGTGTGCCAAAGGGAGAAGTTGGTGAGCAAGGACCAGGACACAGTGGAGTAAACCAACACCTCAGTGTTCCATGGGGGCATCTGCTCCACGGGGGCAACCACCCAGCAGCCCTACTCTAATTCCTCTGCGGATGCTCCATTCACATGCCTTAATTTTTCATCAAGCAAGATAAAATTAGATAGCTAAGTTAGAAACAGGATTTCTGCCTGGCATGGTGACACACGGCTGTAATCCCAGCATTTCAGAAGCCTAGACAGGAAGACAGCAATGACTTTGGGTCCACCCAGTGCTACACAGTGAGACCTCACCACAAAAATAAAAGCAAAAAAACAAAAACAAACAACAACAAAAAGAAAGGAGGGAAGGAAAGGGAAGGAAAGGAACATGAAAACATTGAGGACTTCAAAGAAAACTAAGCTGTACTACACTACCCACCGGCAATGATCTCCCGCAGTTTGGGGTCCAGGTTTACTGTGCACGGCAAAAAGGTCTTTACATCTCGAGCCACAAGAACTGGAGTCCTTGAAGACAAAAACACTTCAAAATTTCTTATATCTCCATCAATTTCAAGAAGTGGCTCAACATCTTTAGTTGTTGGGATATTCTTTGATATTCTTCAAAAAGAAAGAAGAGAAAAATCCATTAATGATGCTATCAAAGTCAAATTCTTCATTTTTAAACCTTGTTGCTTCTGTCCACAAGGAGCACGTTACACATCTGGCTCTCATTTTAAAAATAATTTTCAGATAAGAAACCTAAAGGAGGAAAAATAATAATACAGTTTCAAGACGACTAAGGTAACAATGAAGAAGTCGGAACTTCACTGATTTTGGCCAAGAGCAGGGTCTGGACCAGGGAGACAAAGAGAGAAAGGAACACACACACTAGGTACACCAAAGCCAGCTGCTCCCTCTTGCTGATGGTGAGCTGGGCTATGAGCGCACCCATATCACATGATGAGCGAGACGCTGGTTCTGAAACCTGGGCTTTTACAACGTGATACCACGGCTCTTTTTTTTTTTTTTTAATTTTTTTAATTTAAAAATTTTATTTAAAATAAAAAAAAAATTTTTTAATAAATCACACAAACTAAAAAAGTGTCAGCATAGGTCTTTTTTTCCTTCTCTATAAAAGGCTGTTTTCTATTGTAAAAGTAATATATGCTTATTGTATAATAGATATGATAAAACACAAAAGGTAGCCTGGAAAGGATAAGATTTAGTCAATCAAATATAGTAATTTATTTGTACTCTTTTATTCTGTGTATGAGTTCAAACAATAAACAATTTTGAATCAATCAGAAATTCTCAAATGTAAAAATAAGTGAATTTTAGTCATTAAAAACACTTAATGGGCATTGTTACAATAATTAATATAAAATTGTCTTAAAGGAGACAAATGGTCAAAATGTTCAAGTTCTTCCGGGTTCTCCCCACTAAACACCATGAAGTAATAAGTAAACTGATTTGAGATGCATGAGAGAATGTTCCAGAAATAAAGCAATGAAAACTACAATGGACAGAAGTTCAAACAGGCAGACAGGAAAATTGGGAGAAGCCCCAGTGTCCGCTAAGTGATGGGCACAGAGTGGATGGAGCCCAATATCACAGAATACAGCTTAACAGGAAAAGGAGTAAACTGTGTTGAACTTGGCAAGGGCAAATCTCGTCATAAATTATGCTAAGTAAAGAGTCTGGCCAATGTGCAGGAAACAGATCACAGTTCCCATGAAACTTGGGGAGGTAAGGAGGAGGGTGACAGAGGACCACGAAGAACCTGGAAGAAACCTGCCGAGGTGGTGGGCATGGCCACCTTTCTGACTGTAAGGACAGCTCCATGGATCTAGGCAAACAGCAACCGTGACACGGCACAGCCTCAGCAGTTGTTTCCTATGGTAACTGCACCTCTAGAAGCTCTTTAAAGTCCTGGCCCTGGCTCTCCTCACAGCACTCGCCAATTACAAGAGCACGTGCTTTTGGGCTGCACTAGGGCTCCATTTTAGGGGAAAGAACATTTTCCTGCTCTTCCCAAGTGAGATGGAACCCTAAGATTAGCAACAGCTGCATCTTTTCTTTGGGATCAGCACTTTATAGCTGAGACCCAGTACTTGGCTGGTAGCCAGATATTAAAAGTCATCCGAGGGAAAATCCAGAGAACAAAATTAGCAAACAAGGAAAGAATTGGGTGCTCGTGAGAAAACAAGGCTATCAATTCTGTCTGTGGGTTTCACAAAGTCCTGCCACAGACTCACACATGCACACAGCAAAAAGTTCTTTAAGATACTATTACTTTCAATAAAGTAAAACAGCACTCAAACTGATTATTAAATACATTTAAAGAGCAATGAAGACCTGGAAAAGGATCACATGGTATCATTTGCAAAGGTAGAAAAAGTACCAGAAATGAAACAGTTAAAAAGGCAGTTCATTTTTCAGGAGTGTAACACAAAAAAAGAAGAGGCTAGGAAGATTTAGATAAAAACACACAGCTGACAAGTCACATGAAACAAATTAACCGAATCCTAATGCCAGCGTTGCTTTCAGCCTGAATGCGAACAGTGTTCTCAGCGTGGCGAACAATGCGGCTGTTCACAAGCCAAACGTCTACTGCTGCTTTCCAGATTGAAGTCTCTACTCTAACCTTTTGAGCTCAATGCATTAAGCCCTTCTGTTAAAAGAGACGTTTATGTAAATGATAATCTTTTGGCAGTGGGCCATCAAAATCATATGGGCTTTTATTTTTCAGATATTTTTCCAAAGGTTAGCATTTAAAGAATTTAAATAACTTCACTTTTCAATTAAGAGCGAATTTCAATTTTCAGCACTAGGAATCATGTGAACTAAAGTTGCCAGCAGTTAAATGGCCACAGAAAGCATTTTACAGTACCCGGCATCACTGAGCTCCCAGGAAGTTTAAGTATAGCTTCTTTTGATGCCACTAACCGAACAGCACTTCTTAATGCCAACATCCATGTAAGTTAAAGCATTTTGATTATAAATGACAGTGCTTTATTATAGAAGACACAAGTGAATTACTTGGCAGAATTTACATAAGCCATTCATGTCAACTCTATTCAAAGTAAGGCTCAAAATTAAACGGAAATTTTTCTATCTTAAAGTATAAGCAGATCCATAATATATAACTTATGAAAAGGACATTATATTTTTTCTGAAGCTGGTCATCTAATAATGTGATTATCCAATAAAGAATTAAAATTAAAATTTACCACCCCAGCCCCCAATTTTGATGATCAACAAGCCAGGTCTTCATCGAAATGTCTTTATAAACTCTAGTTTGCCTTGAAGCTGTTACACCTGAGACTTCCAGAAAGCCCTCACATTAATACAAGCAAAAAGGCCCATTCCGTGCTGGGGATGTACTTTAATGAAAGGGTGCTTGCTTAGCACCTACATGGCCCCAGGGTCAATCACTAGCAATGAAGGAAAAAACAGCAAAAGCCACCCACTGTATTGCCAGAGTCAGAAACAGAAGATACCACGCAACTCATTTTTAAAGTAACTTTAAAGTATATAATAGGTGTGTATGCCTGCATGTGGATATATGTGCACTTGAGTGCAGAAAATCATGGAGGCCAGAAGTATTGGATTCCTCGGAACTAGAGGTACACAAGTGTGTCAGCTGCCATATGTGTACTAGTAACTATACCTGAGTCCTCTGGTGTTCAGCAAGTGCTCTTAACTGCTGAGCAATCTCTCTAGCCCCGTAAAACTGATTTTTATGACCACTACTGTCTGTGGAAAGACAATCCAAACCCTCGACACTCTCCTCTCCTGTCTGCACCCATTTAATTCCCAGTCATCCTTTGCATTCAGCACAATTCTCTTGCTTAGGGACGCCTACCTGAAGGACAGACAGCGCATACTCCTCTATGATGGCAGACCTAAGGTCCTGACACTCTCCTGTATGCCATGTGTACATCTACCAGTGCAAGTATCTTTAAACATCTCACTCCCTCTCCAGACTGTCATTTCCATCAAAGTTAAGAACAAGTTTGGTTTTGATCCCTAGTCCATCTCCAGTGCCTAGAATACTGTCATAGCACAATTGCTTAATAAATATCTGCCAAGTGAGGAGAAAGACAGAAACAGACAGAGGAACAGACACACACACACACACACACACACACACACACACACTTCCTAAATCTATCCTCTCAGACTAAAATAATTTAAATTTTACCCTTTCAGATACTGACAAAATTTTGTGCTTGAAAAAGAATAAGTAGGGGACTGGAGAAATGGCTCAGTGGTTTAAGAGCACTGGCTGCTTTTCCAATGGTCCTGAGTTCAATTCCCAGAAACTACACAGTGGCTCACAACCATCTGTAATGAGATCTGGTGCCCTCTTCTGGTGTGTCTGAAGACAGCGACGGTGTAGTCAATACATAAATAAATAAATAAATCTTAAGAAACTGTAGGTGGAGTATGTTGAATTATTTTTGTCTGTTTTGAGAGGTAAGGATGAATAAGGGAATCTACTGTCCAAGAACTGTGTGTGGGACAGGCATACCTTCTCTCCTGAACAGACTCGACACTCTTGCACCAAGTGACATGCCTAAGTAGCCATAGTTGTCTGGGTTTATTCTGCTTGATTGGCTTGTGTGTGTTCTTAATATCTCTGCCACACTATAGCTGTGTGAGCTTTGAAGTGTGAGCATTCGGATTCTATTTTTCTTCAAAACTGTTGTCCTTACTGCACATGAAAGTTATTGGGAGTTTTCAAAGATTTTTCCATTGGCTCTGAGGGGACTTTCGGGAGCCCCGATGTCTTAGTTATTTAATTTCCTCATTCATGTACACTGAGTGTCCTCCCCTCACTTCATCCTCCTTCATCTCTCTTAGGAATGGTGTGGCTTTTAATGGACATTCTTTAACCTTGGTTAAATAAAACAACATCCCTTCAGACTCTCTACAGCATGAGAACAAAAACACAGTGATCTTTGTGTTGGTCTGTATCCTGAGCACTGTTGGATTTATTGGTTCTAGAAGCTCTCCTGTAGACTTTTTGGGATACTCTCTATATAGTATTATAGTATCTGTAATTAGAGATAGTTTTACAACTACTATATAATTTGAGTCCTTCTATTTTTCTTGCCTTGTCACTCTGGCTGGAACACCAGTTGGTGCAATAGAAATAATTCAATATTCCAAACAAATATTATGTTTTTAAATCAATTTATGTATTTATTATTTGCATGCATCAATGTTTTGCCTGCGTGTGTGTATGTGCATTACATATATACTTGGTGCATAGTATCAGAAGAGGCATCAGATATCCTGGACTTGGAATTCTGGATGGTTGTGAACCACCATGCTGGGAACCAAACCAGGGTCCTCTGCACAAACAGCAAATGCTCTTAACCACTGAGCTACTCCTCCAGCCACTCAGACGCTGCTCCTTACAGTAAACACTGAGGTCAGTATAAGCTAGCAAGCATACAACTCTAACGTTTACTAACGCGAAGCATACCTGACTGCTCCCCAAGTGATGTATGAGTGCCTAATTATCTTGTCACCCAGCAAAGGCTACTGCTACTTCTTTAGTCTTTTGAGTGTGTGATCCAGGTGAAGGTGCCACCTCTAAGAGAAGCCTG